AATTGAAATCATAGAAAATATTGAAAATTTTAATAGAAATCAAAATTTAAATATGAAATTATCCGCGCCAATCTCATCACCATTAACAACAGCCATAACAACAATGAAAATAAAAATCAATAAAAGGAAAGGATTAAAATTATCGAATAATAATAATGATAATAATAATAATAATCAATTCATTCATTCATTTGAGCAATCAAAAATCAATAAATCAATAAAACAAAATAATCAGTTCTATGAATATAATCAAATACAAAAAATCAATAATTTACAAAAAGAAATAAGAATGAATAAATATTGGCGCCCATGGGAGGATGAAGAGAATGAACAAGAGGAGGAGGAGGAAGGGGAGGGAGAGGATGAAAATGTATTTAGTTGAACTGATCATTTCATAATTGATTATTTTCTTCTTCTTCTTTTCTCTAGAATTACATTGAATTAATTATTATCTGTGATGTAATGAAAACAAAACAAAAACTTTTTTATACATTAGAAAATTTGTTTTAAAACTTTGTATATATATATATATATATATATATATATATATATATATATATATATATATATATATATATATATATATATATATAGATTTATTATAGAATTTCCCTTCTAGTTTTCCAACTCTCCTAGATGGATATTCACTTTCCCTTCTCTCAATTATGTAAATAACAGTAATATCGCGAGAACGCATTGAGTAGGACTTCCCTGACAGTGGTTGTATACGATTGGTTATATGAGAGTATTTCGAGAGGGAGAGCTTAGATCCTATTTTATAGAACGTTTTTACAAACTATTGGGCATAATAACATAATCATAATGGAGCTTAAAATAAGAGTTCAGTTAAGTAAGTTTATACTAAATTACTTACTTACGCCTGTTACTTCTCGTGAAGGAGCATAGGCCTCTCACCAGCATTCTACATCCAATCCTGTCCTGGGCAGTCCTTTCCAGTTGTGATTCATCCTTTCCATATCTGCTTTTATTTCCCGATGTAATGTGTTCTTTGGCCTTCCTCTTTTCCGCCTTCCTTCAGGATTTCAAGTTAGAGCTTGTCTCGTGATGCAGTTTGACGATTTGCGTAGTGTATGTCCTATCCATTTCTATTGTCTTTTCCTAATTTCCTCTCCAGCTGGAAAACGGTTTGTTCTCTTTCACATAAGGCTGTTGCTGATTGCATCCGGCCATTGTATATCGGTTATCTTGCAAGACAATTATTTATAAATACTTGTACCTTCTTGATGATAGTTGTAGTAGTTCCCTAAGTTTCAGCTCCGTACAGTATGAATAAGTACATTGTTAGATAATTTAGTAGTAATTATGCAATAAAACCTCTTAAAGAAGGCCATAATAAACTCAGGGAAGAAGAAAACAGTCTTTTTGAATGTAAAAGTACCCTTCAGTGAAAATCATCTATTATCATTATTCTAACGTTACTACCATAAATCAGTGTTTTAGTTAAAACTAACATTTACTTATGATATTAAATAACTTCCATTGAAGTACTAATGAAAACAAGAGATCAGTAGATAACTACTCACTTACAAAATAGGACTTCTCATAGACATCTACCAATGTTCCCATAAGGGATTGAATTCTCAACTTTCAAGTCACATAGTGATCGTCTAACCCTTCAATTAGTGAGTTTGTAGCGGCTTCGCTTCGTTTAACAATCAGCCTGATAACCGTTAGTAAATATATCCCAACGGTGTATAAATTCGAAAGGTATCAATAAACGTCTACTATAGTTTATTGTCCGATAGCACAGATAATAAGGTTACAAATACATCGAGCGAATTGGAGCACAGAGGCTTATATGTGTGTGTATGTGAGCGTATACAGAGGCGTATTTAAAGTGAAATCAAAACGATGCTAAGCGAAGTATTGAACAACATTAACTGTGAGCAAAAGTGAATTTTATGAGAGCTGCTATAAGTTCACACCTATTGCTTCACATATCCAACTTTAATAAATTAGGAATATAAAGCAACAGTTATGTAATACACTATGTAATTGTCTTTCACTCTTGACACGGTTAAACTTCCGCTACCAAGAATTCTCACTTGAACGTAGACAATTCATCGTGAAGCTACTAACAAGTGTACTTACCTACTTCATTACGCCTGTTAACCCTCGTGGAGGGGCATATGCCTATCATCAGCATTCTTCATCCAACTCTGTCCTGGAAAATCCTTTCCAGTTGCTATTCATTCTTTTCATGTCTATTTCAAATTCTCGATGCAGTGTGTTCTTTGGCCTTCCACTTATCCGTTTCACTTAAGGATTCCAAGTGAGGGTCTGCCTCTGTAATGTATACCCTATTCACTTCCAACATCTTTTCCTAATTTCCTCAAGCTTGAAGCTGGTTTGTCCTCTATTACAGTCGGCTATTGCTGATGGTATCCAGCCAATTTATTATAAAATACTCTTAGTTTATTAATCATACAAAGATGTACTAGAAGTTGTAGGAAAGATATGGTATAATTACAAGTTGTACTTACTGTCTGTGTACACAGAGTTCATATATAAATTGCTAAATTTCTAAACCATTTGAAGCTCACAAACGTTTGATTGATTCTCATTAAGAAACTATTTATTGAAATGGTCAATATACAAATTTCTATAACTGGATCTCATTGAACACCCCACTCTCGGCCGTACCAGGGCATTTGTGGGCAAACAGAGCTAGGAAGATTTGCTCAGACGATACTACAAACAAGAAACCAGGGCGTATTCATAATATGTCGATTGAAATAAGTTATCCATAAAGCTTTCTGAAGAAATGCTTCCATGCAGCCAACAGGAAGATAGTGGCATCAACGGTTAGTAAGAAACCTCTCTTCCTGAAGCTACAACTCAACGGATATAGCTGATGATATGCTACGAGATAAAATGACCAGGATAATGAAGAGGACGTTTAATGTCTATCGTTCTCCATCCTACCTATAGTGATTCCTCAACTAAAGGAGAAGTTACCTGGTTCAGCCACATCTATGTGTATCTACGAATTCAGCTGCTCTTATGGAGAAAGCTATACAGGATGCACAACCAAATAACTGATCCGACGAGTTAGTGAACATCTCTCTTCATGGTTAGGAAAGCGTACCCTCACTTGATCGATCGCAGTCATGTAGTAGATAGAAATAGGTCATTTAAAGTGATTTATCATGTTCTTACTAGTTTTCTTTGTGGGGTTTGAATTCGCCTCTTACAGATAGTAGAAGTTATAGGAATTCGAACTCACAATACAAGTCCTTGAATTCATAAGAAATTTATAACACTTTCATCCTTTACTTGACCGAACAAACCTTAATTCTATGGAATCCTAAAAGCATTGTCAAATGCTTTCTGTTAAATAAATACGGGGTGGGAAACTATTTTTTTAATGATTAGTCTCAGATAAATACTTGAAATGGTTACCAACCTAGGATCATCTACAAAATAAATTGTGCCAACTGAGAAAAACACTACATCGGACAAAGCGGACGCCCCCTTCACCTTCGCCTAAATGAACACCAATTAGCAGTCAAACGCCATGATACTTTCTCACTTATATTAATACACGTGGACAACTGCGGACACTCATTCGAAATGTGGAAATCTTGGACAGAGGAAATCCCAAAACCACCAGAGAATTCTAAGAAGCCTGGCACTCAGGTCAATCAGCAATCAACAAGCACATTGATATCGATCCAATTTATCAACCAATCAGGAAAATTATACACAGATATAGGAACAAAAATCAAACCGATGGGAGACAACCAAAACAAAGAAGTAAACAATGTCAATAAGAACCAATGTCAAGGTGTACAGAACAAGCTGTGAAACGCATACGGAGAAATTCGAACACTTCACTTCTACCTGAAGTTTGTGCTGATGATGTCGTTCAGAAGAACGACGAAAGCTCCATGACCAAACCATCCAGCTCAAAGAACAAAACTCCATCAAAATCATCCACTTGAGCTACAAATCTCCACCATAGACCCGCTCAATTTGTCGTCTCCTAGATTCTCAATTTTAAAGCTACATTGTACTCCTGAGAATTCATTTTCTTCATAAATCATGTTTCCTATGCCTAATCTTTTCTACTAAGGCTAACACTACTAGTATTTCTACTACTCTACCTATTTATTTGAACAAATAGATATTAGTACAAGGGGTCACCGGATACATATGCGCCACATAAATCTCATTTGGTATGTGTGAGAGCTGTGATACTGCCTGGGTGCCCAAACCGAAGCACGTGGTTTTCTTAGGGAGCCACACCCCGAGCTTTCGACTTAAAGGTCTAATCCACAAGGCAGTGGAGCAACGTAAGGAGATGCAGTCCCATGATAGCCGGTGACCAACGATTGGTTCATACGCCATTTGTTCCTTCAGGATCCTGGAGCCCATGTGCACCATTGGTTTGAAATCACGGTTTTCCAACTCCCCTAGGTGAACTCACGGTGTCCATCAACCTGGTAAAAGCGCCGGACATTCGCTTTACGTAATCTCAATTTCGTAAACACCCCCGCCACCAGAAGGCAGTGAGTAGGACTTCCCTGGCAGAGGCTATATACGCGTGGCCATGTGAGAGCATTTCGAGAGGGAGAGCTGACTGTGCCCACTGTCGGCCGTACCAGGGCATTTGGGGGCTCTACTACTCAGGCAATTATATTGGTAATTTCATCTAATCGCACCAATGTAGTGTGACAACTTGAACCTATAAATATGCATGTGTCAGATTCTACGTTGCTGATGACTGATTAATTGGATGGATAATTCACATATATAATTTGTTAGATGGATTACAGAAACTCAAGTCGATTTACAATCAAGACTAATGCTGAGTTGTTACTTGGTGTTTTAACCAGTCACAGGTCCCAATCTCATGTAATCTACTCTTAAATTCCTAGTTCTATGTTCTAGTTATGATGTTGATCTGCAACATCAATTATAATAAAATACTTTAGTATAATCAACTCTTTCAGTATAGAGAAAAGTAAAGAATTCTCATTCACTGTTGATGCGATATTATCTAGCATTATGCTATAAATATAAAAAAAACTTAAGGAATAGACAATCCAACTTACATAAGACAAAACATCATGAAACGATATACAAAACTAATTCCCAAATCACTATTAACCACTTCAGTCCAAAAAGGTAGAAAATTTACAATACATAAACAATTAACTGAAATACTGGGTTACTGACTTTTAAGAAAGAAAGGAAATCAAGCACTATTAATAAACATGATCTTTTATTTAAATCAAATGCAAAAGGGTGAAATATTTCAAGTTTTATATTCAATTTAATTGCCTATTATTGTTTTATTATGCAATTCGTTTGATTAAATGAATTCCAGAATCTGTATATACAGGACCACACATTTCACCAATTTCTAATTTAAATGCAGCATCTTCAAATGGTTTTTGCATTTGACCACGACTAAAGAAATTTAAATCACCACCAGAATGAGCTGAACTGCAATCGCTTTCAGTTCGGGCAAGTTCTTCAAATGTACATTCACCAGCTTCAATTTGTTGTTTGTATTCTAAAAGAGAAAAGACAAGAGGAAAGAAGAAACACACTTGTGAATATGAAGAATAAGTACGAACTATATTAGGCAAACTAAACTGTAATCAGTCAATGAGAACACTTCAATCTTACAACAACGCCAGTTCAGCTATAAGCTGAATATCTCAGTGGGAATGCTTCTGATTAAGGCGTTGAGTGAAGTGAGTCCATATTTCACAGGAAACACCACAACAGGTACGTCTTAGCTCCCGACTTGCAACGAACAAGAAATCTAGGGGTCAGAGATGGCTTCCTGGCGACTGTTTCCAAACGCCTCATCTTAAAAATGGTGTACACTATATTCAATTAAACTAATGGCTACATTGAAATCAGGTCAAGAGAATTTGAAATCAAAACCCAGGACTAAACAATAATACATCAATTACTACCCATTGGTAACTCAGTGTAAATTATAAACATTAATCGATTCTATATTTGTACATAAATTGCAATGAAACAGGGATGCATAATTTGAACATTGAATTCATTTATATTGACCAAAAATAACTGAATTAGGAACTAAAACATTCCAGGTTCGTGACTTTTCAAATAGATGTTTCTCCACTTGAGAAAAGATTCTTTTTCCTAGTTATGTAGGGTTTAGGACCAGTTCATTTGTGTATCTTGACGACTATATTCAGTTAATTTAGTATAGATTGATAAAAACAAATAACGTCTTAGATTTCCGTTGAATACATTTCTCCAATCACAGAGAAATTCTTGGCATTTGTATAAGAATAGTTTGATGTGAAATGAGAGAAAAGATACCGATATCTTTTTCGCTGGCCTCTCTCATCATTCGGAATTATTTTTTACACCAATTTATTCAATGGTCATTTTAATCCTTTATTGTAGTCTAAGAAGCACATAATCCCCCAAAAATACACAATCGTTAAGCTTTAAAAGTATATATATAAACATATATCAGAAAGCATGAATTTCTAGTTATGAGAAAGGATAGCCAATTTATTAATACGATACACTCTTTCTTTGAAATATCTAACCCCAAAAACCATATTTACCATACATTGGTGACCTGTAAACCCTTTGAACTCCAGCCACATATTTTTTAGTATCTAATTTAGTTGAGTTTTTAATTTTAACGGAATACTAACAGATTAAAAATGTTTATTTGACCATTATTGGTCTCCATATTGACCTTTTATTGAAAACAGTAAAAGCTCGTCTACAGACTCCTGTTCACTTTCTGTTTATCATGTCCAATGAACATTTAATTAGATGACTTTCAATATCTAGTAATATTGTTTAAATGCAACACATACATCAAGCTTAAGAGAAATGTATGAAGTCAATATATAGTTTAGTGTTGTGCACAAAAGTAGTGATAAACTTACTTTTTATTAAATCTAAGGCTTCATCTTTAGATCGAGTGATATTCTGTTGTTTCCAAGATGAGGGACGTCGAGATTCATTATGCTTCACTAGTAAGTGTAAGCATCGAACTTTATTTGTGGATATGACTGGATGCTGAGGATATTCCCATTGTGACTCATTTGTAACTGTATTAACATAGTATGGTTTTCCTTCATAAAATATTTGGTTAGTTATTAAGAGAAACTAGAAACAAACCACTACTAGAGCTGATTCGAGATACCCAACCTTCAGGTAACGTAGACATAACAAGGATTTAGGATAAAAAGATAGTAGTACGAAACCTGAAAGAGAAAACTTTATCGATTAGGAAATTTATTTATTTGAACACAGATATTAGTACAAGGGGTTACCACATACATATGCGCCACACAAATCTCATTTGATTTGTGCGAGGGCTGTGGTACTGCCCGGGTGCCCAAACCGAAGCACGTGGTTTTCTTAGGCCACACTCGGAGCCTTTGGCCTAAAGGTCTGATCCACAAGACAATGGAGCCTATAGTATTTCAAATTGTGTCTTATACTTACAGTTAGCGATGCATTTTTCCGTTAAGCGGTCTAGTGAGAAAAACTGAAAAAATCAGCAAACATTGATGCTTATTACTAGTTTTTGCTCGAATAGCTATGATTCATCAACTATTACATGAGCTATTTATGGACGAAGCGAGACATTAAACCAAACTAAGTGTTAGGTTCAAACTCATGAGGTTATCAGAACTTGTGTTTCTAGGCGACTGAATCCCTATAACATCTATCCCAGAGAAGATTAAATTACGGGTAACTTCCAAGGACTATTAATGGACTAATGTTCTATAAATATTCTTATTGTATAACTAATCAACAATTAGATTATGTATATTTATATTCCCCTTATTATAAGTTTTATTTTGATCTATAATTTATTATTATACGATTTACGGTTCTTAAGCTATGATCAGTCTATTAATTACTATCTCACGCGTTCACAGCCACTTTTTGGCTTATTTGTGTACACGTTATTTTCTATTTTATGGTACGTTGCGGTCTGTTTGATTGATATATAAACCGAGTATGTCTGAAATAAACGATTCGATTCATATTGCAGAAGCTGGTATTGTGTTCTGGACTCAAGTGGACGGGGTAAGAGGACATAGGACCAATAAGGACGCTAGACTGCTCATACCGGTTGAACATCATTGGTTTGGCATAGTGTTAAGATTGTATAAGACGTATTTTGATTGGTGGATAAATCACGTGATAAAAAGCCGGACATAAAATCATAACAACATCTAACAGCTGAAAGTTAGGTAACAAAAAAATCTTAAAAAGAATTCAGAAATAACGAACAGCAGTGATGTAGGTAGTGGTTTCAAAAACAAGTATGTACAACGTAAGCAGTCTATAAAATAGTATTTCAGATAGCTGACTAAATTAGGCAGTAATCAGTTAATTCTATCTCACATTGCGAAAACTAACTACAAGTCGACTGTTGAATTTGATGTGCTTCTTTAATACTTTTCTTTCATAATTACTTCCGAGTACTAACTTCAAAGTTTTTCGAGGTTGAGTGTCATCGCCAACTCACCAATTCTTATTGCTTTGGTAATATGTACTCCCAAATTATTTGGTAGTATATTCCTGATCGGAGATCCGACTGACTGCCGATTCTGTGCTTGACGTTTGGCTGTCTTAGTGTTGTTTGATTTCATCATATTTCAAATGATCAAACTAGGGACGGATTTTGTCTCTTTAAAAGCTATGTTCACCGCTTTTGATCGTGTCGTTATCTGACTCTTAGCCTTAATTTAAGTCACCATTTCTTTCACTGTTTTCTATTTTGGCTTCAACATTTGGACTGATCCATTAGTTTGTGCTATCTGGGAGACAGACACTAACATAGAACCTAGCTCAGATGTATGTTGACTGAAGTTCCCATATCTGATTAACTGAGGTGAAAACGAGATCGAAAAGAAATGCTAAACTTTGGGAATATAGTTTGCAAAGACATAGTGGAAACGTGTATATAAAGGGATACTGGAATTCAAAATCGAAAGATCAATCTGAACCATTGTAGACGAATTTGAGTCATCACCCGTTTCTAACCACTGTTTACGATCATCAAGAGGACCCAACCAAGTAGTTTGCATATGCCAACGTGACCTAAACAAAGCCAGTGAATTCATGGACCGATGTTACATATTAGTTTAGCTACTCCTAGCCTACCTCTAACTTACTAGTAACTGTCGCTGGTCGAGAAAATGGTGCTTAAGCACTATTTAGTTTGTTTTGTAAGAGTTATGCTCTCCACATATAAAATATTCATATTCACCCTAGTGTTTACACCAGGTATACTTTGTCAGTGGTTTTTTATTCCACCAAATCATATTTTCTCAAGCCGTATCTTCGATGCCTAATGTCTTTTATTACCACTAATGCTGTTACTACCGCCATTACTCTGATTTACCCTGACAATTGTACCTCTCTGTGCTGATAGAGTGTAGTAACCTGAAACGATGTACGCATGTACTAGGTTTTACATTGCGTATGAATGACTAATTGGGTAGTGTGGAGAGCGTTTCATGGATTAAAATCTCGGGAGCAAAAAGGAAATAAACCTTCTATTATTAGGGTGTTGAAAGCTAGTGCTTTTCAAACACCATAAACGTATGCTATACAAGCGTTCATAGTTTCGGGAATAAAGTCAAAGCTAAGCTTCTTAACGGAAGAAACCTTGTTCACATCTGTATTGAATTTAGTGGAATTATTATTCGTGGAGTGCAGTATAGCATTACGCTCTCAAATGATCGATAGTAATTTTAAAAGCTACTGAGGCGTAGGAAACACTTCTGAGACATGTCATTTACAATGAGTCATGTAACATTTAAGTTTGGGTACTGTTTGGTTAGAAACATATCTAAACGATTACCACTGTCTCCCACTACTGATGAGAAGCAGTTTAGTACACAACAGCCACACATGCTTAAGGTGACAGATTCCTAATATTAAGAAAACTAAACAAAATGTTAGTTTCCACTCCATAGTTATATAGTAAATTCGGGCACAGTATGAATTAAGTGGAGTCAAAGCCGAAAGTTCATAAAATTGCTTCAGCGAGATGTACTTGAAGAATAGTAATGTTGACACTTCGAACCCTGAGATCAGTACTTGACTCACGAAGCACGTTCTCGATTGCCTAGTAGCTTGGACCAGGTAAGTCAGTCGATACTGATGGGTTACACCACCGATTGTTGTAATCCATTATTGGTATTATTTCAACGCCACTCATTCAACATGTCGCTTTTCCGAACTAAACTACTAAGGAATTAAAAGGACGTTGTTAAGCCTATTCCTAGGGACAGAAAGAGGAAACTCATATCTATGTACACACGTCTGACTAGCACAGTGGTCAACGTATTAGAAAGCACTTTGAGATTAATTCCTTGTTCACGTAGAATCACGAAGTCTGTTAACTTCAGCACGCACGTTTGTTGATAAACAACCTCGTCTGACTAATCTACTCAGTTAAAAAGGCTACGCAGTGTTTCAGTTTCAGTTTGGGAAGGACAGGAGGCCTGTGTTAGTCCTGGCAATGGTGGTCTCTCAGTTGATCCAACTTTCTTTTGAAAGAATCGACGGATGGAGCCTCAATCACGTGCTGAGGTAGTGAATTCCACTAGTTGATGATTCGATGGGAAAGTCGATAGTCAGCTGACAAGTAATTTGTTCTTGGCTTGTGAACTTTTTTGGAGCGTCCTCTTAAATTCTCTGTTTTGGAAGACAAGGAAAATGAAGGCATATCAGGTGCAAATTTGGCACCAAGTAATTTGAAAACTGTAATCAAGTCGTATCTAGTTCTGCGATATGACAACGGGAAAAGGTTTAGCTTGGCCAGTCGAGCTTCATACGGAAGCTTCGCTATTCCGGGAATCAGCTTGGTTGCCGTTCTCTGAACCTTTTCCAGAAGCTCATTGTCCCTGAGGCACCCCACTAAGCACAGTTCCCCAGCTAGATAACTTTGAGTTCACTCGTACTCTTTGTTGACGCCCAACTAGGAAGTCTTTTATCCACATAAATAGATTGTCTACAATCCCGACATTTCTTAACTTATATAACAGCCGGTTGTGCGGAACCTTGTCAAAAGCTTTGCTGAAATCAATGAAGGCTACTTCTACAGATAACTTTTGGTCCTTAAGAGCACACCAGCTTTCACGAGCCACTATGTTAGTGAGACAAGAGTAACCTATTCTGAAACCGTGCTGCTTCTCCGAAAGGATCCGGTTTTTATCGAGATACTTAAACAGTTCCTTCCGAATAATCTTTTCTAAGATTTTAACAACCGCACTAGTTAGGCTAACGGGGCGGTAATTTTCAGGTTTGTGTTTCGTACCTGTTTTGAAGACAGTATTTACTATAACGTTTTTCCAGTCTTTGGGTAAACGACCCTGCGTTACGGATAGGTTAAGGCATATACTTAAGGGGTTCGCAACGAAGTTAGATAATTCCTTCAGTAGCCTAGGATGTAATTCATCGGGCCCCATGGATTTACCTATGTCAAGCTTATTTCGTAGACCAGACATCGAGTCCTTTAATGGTCACGCTATCCAGTGTATGTGTGGGGGGGTCTCTATGCGCCGATGGGGAGGGTGCTTCTATGGTGTATACACTGCTGAAGTAGTTTGAGAATACTTGAGCCTTACCAAAGTCGGCCTCCACTAGTGACGCGGCAGTACTGTCTCCCCATAGAGCAGGAATATTTCCTTTTCTCTTTGTCCTTTGGTTTATATAAGGATACAAGCGTTTAGGACATTCTATGGATTCCTTAACAATATTTTCTTCGTACAACTTTCTAGACTTACGGAGGGTCGAGGCACAGGTATTCCGGACTTTTCTATACTGGGATTTCAAGGCAGTAGACTGCCTACCGATGTTATATTCCCACATTTCCGAGAGTTACTAAGTAATATGTCTTAATCAGGACCTATACAGAATCTTCCCATCTTCGGAATAACAGGTCCCAAACTCAGGGGTTTTTCGCGGAAATGAGACTAAAATCCTCGAAATTTTTACCAGCTCGGAGTTTCCCCCGCAAAGTCTCCCCAGACTAAAGAGAAAATTACTCATTTGTAAGTGTTTTTGTGGAAAACCCCAGAATTTACGCAAGCCATTGGACTGTGTTACAATCTAAGTTCAGATTAAACATTTTCTTTGGCAGAAGACAGTGCGGATATACAGCACCCCAAGTAATGAACTCGACATCAAATATAGGTGCAAAATCCATGGTCGAACAAACAGATTTCTCAGCTGAGAAAACGAAACGTCTATATTTTTATTACCTGTAGTTATCTAAACTCACTTAAGGCCTCGTGACAACTTGCCTGTTATAATTACCAAACACACACGACCTTGAAAGTGCAATGTTCAGTAACCAATATCTTTGTGATGAGCTTGTATGAACCAATTGATTTCTTTATGCTCACTTCCTGGTGTTTCGGTTCAGCTTCTGATCTTTGATATCGCCCGACGTGATTACAACGCCACTGATTTACTGTCACACAAACAGTGTCAATTTTGAAAGAACTTTAAATTTAAAACTTTGATGTAATCGGTGTCTGGGTAATAAAGGAATATTCCTGACATTGAGTTGCATGGTTATTATTTTGTCTTTTAAAACTTGAAATATTAAGCAAATCATTCAATATTAGTAGAAGTAACCGTGCTTTAACCACTCACAGCACCTACAGAGCTTGTAGTGTCGAGTAATACAATAAACCAGATGAGTTATTATGGCTTCTGAACAAGGCTATTTATCCATTCTTCTTGATCCACATTTTGACCCTGACAAATATCCGTTAATAATCTTGGCAGTTCTTATGTGAGTGCTTGTGTGTCTACCGCCTACTCTACTCCTCACCTGTCTTTAGCTTATTTTTGTTTGGTTATAAGTATTGAGTCACTCTTGATCAAATGGAGCCGGCAAGTTTATATTATCAGGCCTGTCCCTCCATTTATTTTCTTTGATTTCCCTTCAGAATCTACGAGTGCATAAAATACACCTATCCATAATTAGTTTTCATATTTGACTCATTTTATTCCGTTAATCTCTACCACGAACTAAGTCGATAATTATATACGAGGGTTGACGGCATGTATATTTGGCGGTAAATAAATCCCCGAATAAATAGTTCTGTAAGTTTTTGGCATTGATGCTAACCACATAATTTTTACTAGAAACACCTAGCTGAAGGATCTCGATCACACAACAGCACCAGATCATGAGTGGGTATGCCGTGTTACGCATCCCTCGTAACCGCTACCCAGCTTCGACTAAACGCTTCCCGATACATCGATACCCCTCTTGGGACAACTTCATTTGTGATTACTGATTTGACTGGGTTGACTTATATCGATTATAGAGGTGTTACGTGTAAAGGTGTTGTAAAACTCCAAATACCTGTGAGATCTTTCTATATCATGAACATCATCGTACAATCAGTGGGCCACAAAAAGATTGAGTAAACGCCGAAGGCTCCTTTGAAAGCATCTACAGAAGATATGTTTGCTGTAACTCATGGTAAGGAATTCCATAGTTTATTTATTAAAACCACTAAAAATGTAATATGGATGCTTGTGTGAGCTCGTTCATTTCCTGCCTTAAGTGGATGTCTTCTTAAACGAAGTTTCGTATCGAAATATTTTGGCGATCTGTCACGGTGAAAAGGACTATGAGCGCGATGATACGTCAAGATCTTGTACTTCTATCCTTCTGCATAGCACATCAATAATTTAGATCTTCCGGACTAGACGGGTTGGATTTGTTTTGTAGACGTGGTACCTTTTTGTTTCATATTTCTTGGGCAAATTTCAACAGAGCGATATCCTTCCTAGCCTAAGAAGTCCCAATACGTTTTTTCCCTTCTGAGATCTTCAGTCAATACTAAAAGGAGTTTCGAATAGTAATGGATTCAAGGTACCCAATGTTCTTGAAAGAAACCCCAAGAGTGGAAAAGCTCTATTGATTACAAAATGGGAATGAGGAACGACACCTAGGATATCACATAAAAATATCCTTAGATCATTTATTGTTATGGAAACCGCGATTTTGAAATAACCCGAAAAGTACTAGTTGGATAAAATATGACAAATATTCTCCATTAACTTTCTGCACTTAGTGGTACCGAAAAGACGAACATTTCTGGTGGCCCAGTCCTATATGTTGCGCGTCTTTTCAAAAAGTCTATACATCGATAGAGTCAAGTATTTTCGTTCGAATCATAAAACCATCCAACTATATCAAAGTTTCGGAGTTTAATGACAGAAGTTTGCCAATACTTAATAAGAAGAGCAATAGTTGGAGCATAGGTCATCGTGGCAGCCCACTTGTCATTGAAAATCAATCAGACAAGCCAGGATATACTTCAGTGACTTGTCGTCTCTTTTTTCAGTAGTTTTAGGGCCATCTCACTAGATACTGATTTTCACATGTTTCAGTTAATGCAGGAAAATATGACAACCGACTCCATAAATTGCTAACAACAATCCTAGGAGGCCATTATACATAGGATGATTTCGTTCCAGGAAGAGGGTCGAATTGTTTCAAGCGGTCAACAGAAAAACGTGTTGCAACCCAGCAAAAATGAAGAATATAGTTACAGAGAAACTCACAAGTAACTTTCCATGACCCTAGTTGCGAAGAGTACTCCGTTCTTCCCTTCAGATATGGAGGTCTTCATTATCCAGTAGACCACCAGAAGAAAGAGTGAGAGAGTTAGTAGTCTTGCCGGACTCCGGTCCTCACCTCGAATGCGTCCTTCAGCTGTCCTCCATGCACCACTTTGCAGTGTGGGCCGTCGCATGAGTTTCGTGTGATGTTGAAAATCTTCTCAGCTACCCATCTCTTAGTGTCTAAGGTTCCATAAAATCTTTTTATTCATGTTGTGAAACGCCTTCTCATAATCAATGGAGTTGGTGCATAGTGACCAGTTTCATTCAATTAATAGTTCAACGATGATCCGTGATTCGGTCCGTGCACGACCGATCCATACGGAATCCGGTCTGTTGATCTCGAAATTTGATGTTCAATGAATTGTTCATCCCGTTCAACAATATTCTGTGGACAATGTTCCCTGTTACCAACAGTAATGTGCCTCTGTAGTTGCTTAGATCTCCTTTCTTTGATACCTTGATGAGTTGTCCTTCATTCCAGTTCATCAGTACTTGTTCTTCTTCCCAAATATTCCTGAATAGATTGTAAAGCATGTTTACAGTTACTACTATGTATGACTTCAGTGATTCAGCTAGAATATTTTGAGGTTCTACTACTTTTCCACTTTTGATTTGTCTGATGGTCATCCTGATTTTTTCGATCGTTGGTGTAGTGACATCAGTAGGAAGGTTTGTGTGTGCTACTTCAGTGTTGGGTTGGTTCAATGGATCTAGTTTATTCAAGAGTTCCTAAAAGTGTTCTACCCATTTGTTCCTCTGTTCTTCAATCTCAGTTATTACCTTGCCTGTTTTGCCCTTCACCAGTCTCTCTGATTTACCATATATCCCTATCGATTTCTTCGTTGTGTCATACAGTTGTATAACAAATTTCGTTGCAGCATTCTCCGCTGTCATTGCTATGTCTTCCACGAATTTATGCTTGTCAGCTCTAATGCTCCTCTTAACTTGCTTGATTAATTCAGCGAATTCAGCTTGTGCATTCACCTTCTCTGTTCTTGTTCGACTGTTGTTAATTACTGTCTTCTAATTCTTCCTTTCTCGAATATTGTCCAGGATACCAATAAAATGCATTCCATATGATGATGCCTCTTGAGGTACGGAACATCTTTTACATTGAAGTGTATAGTTCAGTTTATGAAGCATTTGATAAAGTGTCTCCTTATATGTACATATGTATTTTACGTAATATTATTAGCGAATGTGCTGTAAGTATGCAGTCGGACGAAATAATTAGCCTATTTTTTCAATTTAATTCCTAATGACAAAGCAAGTGTTTTTAATATTTGAAATGTGAAAAATTAGGGTTCTCACTGTAATTACTGTCTACTTTATGACATTCAGTTTTTCTTGAAGTTATTTTTAATCAACTTATTGGTGACTTAAGGTGTAATTTATGGTTATGGGCAAAAATGAATAATGTCTAATAGTGGAATCTAGGACGCGTGCATCGTCCTATCTCAAACTCGTCAGCGGGATGTAACTGCATCTCAGAGTTCATATTCACTCCAGCACTCGAACCTAGTACCGTTCACTTAAAACACCATCGTGTTATCTACTTAGCTACTGATCAATTGCAAACTGAAACATGAATTGGAAGGTTCAAGTAAACAATACCAAGTGAATTTATACTTCATAGTTATTATTATTATCATCGTTATTATTAAGGGTTTTATTCAATGTTATATTTTGATACAATATGGAATTCTCAGCACAGGGTATTTCAACAAGTTACTTACGCAAGAAAAACAGTGACAAATATAAAAAAGTAAAGAAACGGTCCAAAAAAACTCAAAAAACTGTACAACTGTTGGGGACGATAGATCCCCAAACTCATATTTTAAATTTTATCTTATCGATCAAATGTTAGATATTTTTATTGGGGTCAATTGATGAACTATCGATTAAATGCGCAAATAGGTCAATTAATGAACTCATTGATTAATGTTTAAAAATTTTCTGTCGATTGTAAATAATTGTATAAATACGCTTGACTTGTATGCTTGATCTGATCTGCCTGCCTGACTTGTTATCTGCTGTTGCTTGTAGAATATACTTTCTACGCCTTACCAAGACTTCTTGATCGAGTTAGCTGAGTCGAAGACAACGGACCAGAATAGTCTATCGAGTCGCTGAATCATTGATCCTTCGTTCCGTTCGAGTAAGACGCATCAGTAATCGCATTCAAGCAATAACGAAACATAACAAATTGGCGACGGTGGTTTTTCGATTATGGACCCTGCCAAACTTGAACTGTTACTTGAGCAGCAGCTAAAATTGATGCAAATGTTAATGGAGACCAAGGTTACGCCTCCCTTACAGCCAAGCACGTCTAGTTCAACCACGGCACCATCAGTAGATGGCATCACAAATAGCATAGCTGAATTTCATTACGATCCTGATTCTAATGTTACTTTTGAAATGTGGTTCAGGCGTTATGAAGATCTATTTAAATTTGATTTCGCCAATCAAGATGATGCTTGGAAAGTGCGGCTGCTACTTCGTAAACTGGGTGCAAATGAGCTGGACAAGTATTGCAATCTGATCTTGCCGTTGAACCCACGTGACCGATCATTTGCAGACACAGTTCAAACATTAATCCAACATTTTGGCGATAACTCGTCACTGTTTAATACTCGTTATCGTTGCTTGAAGCTAACTATGAACGAAGATGATGATTTTCTTACGCATGTGGGCGTCGT